GGACCCGGTGGCTTAAAACTCACGCCGGGCGCGTGTGCGTGCGTGCCCAAGATCCCGAGAGGAGAATGGAGGAGAAGGGATTGCGGCGTGACCATCCCCCCTGGGGGGTGATTTCTCGCTTTCTGTCTCTATGTCTCTCTCTGTCTGTCTGGCGAGCGCACGCGCCCTACAGTGAAAATCTCTAAAAAAAAAAAAAAATAGAGAGGGCTGGCCTCGTGGCCTTGGAGACTGGGAGAGCCAGATCCCACACAACTAACTGCAAGGTTAGCGTTTCAGACCTCATGATGTGGAAAACAGGCTGGGCTGGTGTGTATGGGTGGGTGCCTCAAATCTTGAAAGGATGGAGGAATGGAGGTGATGGGATTATAGCCTGACTATACTCCATGGAGGAGGTGGCCTCTCCTCTCCCCCACAGTGAGTGTATGTTCTCTCTGTCAGATTCAAAAATAATAATACTGCTCTTCCGGCCCCAGGCTCCTCGGAGGCCACAGGTTTCTGTGCAGACATGGCCAAGCCCAAGAACCACACCACACACAACCAGTCCTGAAAATGACCTAGAAATGGCATCAAGAAACCTCAATCACAAAGATTTTAATCTCTCAAAGGGGTGGACCCCACGTTCCTGAGGAACATGCGCTTTGCCAAGAAGCACAACAGGAAGGGTCTAAAGAAGAGGCAGGGGGATCAGCAGTTAGCGTAATGGCTATGTCGCTGAACTCCCATGTAGTCGACCTTGGTTCAAGGCCCAGATCTGGTGGCTTAAACTCACGCTGGGTGCGTGTGCGTGCGTGCCCATGATCCTGAGAGGAGAATGGAGGAGAAGGGATTGCAGCATGGCCATGCCCCCTGGGGGGTGATTTCTCACTTTCTGTCTCCCTGGCAAGCACACACGCCCTGTAGCAAAAACCTCTCCAAAAAAAAAAGAAGAAGAAGAAGAGGCAGGCCAACAATGCCAGGGCCATCGAGGCCCTCGTAAAGCCCAAGGAGGGTCAGAGGGGCGTCCTGAAGGGCAGCAGCCGCAAGCTCAGTCGTCTTGCCTACCTTGCCCACCCTAAGCTCGGGAAACGCGCTTGCGCCCGTATGGCCAAGGGCCTCAGGCTCTCTCAGCCAAAAGCCAACAAGGCCAAGGCTCAGACCAAGACCCAGACTAGGGCCCAGGCCTCAGCTGCAGCTCCAGCTTCAGTTCTGGCCCCTGCTCAGGCTCTCAGAGGTGACCAGGCCCCCACGAAAGC